AAGTGCACCACTTTTGTGTGCTCCTCGGTTATGGCGCCGATGCGAGTGAGTATTTTTTTTCGGGCTGAGAGGGGTGAGGCGGAGTGCGAGGACGATATCGAACTTGACAAAAATCTATCCGCTGACAATATGCGATCTATTATTTTCTCCCAGTCTGCCCGTACCTCGCGTACGATGCGATGCTGAAGCTCCGCCGCGACCGCGCTCTTAAGGCCGGGCTCTCGGACAAGGACGTCGTGTACAACTACATTAAAGCGAGCAACGACGGCATTCGGAAAGTCATGTCGAAGATGGGGATCTCTACCCTCTCGAGCTACAAGGCGGCACAAGTCTTCGAAGCCCTCGGCCTCGACCGCGACGTCATCTCCAAGTGCTTCTCCGGCACCGCCTCTCGCATCAAGGGCGTCGGTTTCGACATCCTCGCCTTGGACGCACTCACCTTCCACGAGCAGGCGTGGCCAACCCGTGCAACCGTCGCCCTCGACACGCTTCCGGAAGCAGGCGACTACCACTGGCGCGACGGCGGCGAAAACCACATTAACGACCCCGCCAGCATCTCGAACCTCCAAGACGCCGTCCGCAGGAAGAACCTCAACGCGTACGAGGCCTACTCACGCCAGGCCCACGACCAGATCAAGAACTGCACGCTCCGCGGGCTGCTTGATTTCAAGTTCGACCACGCTAAGCCGGTTTTGGTCGACGAGGTCGAGCCTTGGACCGCTATTGTGAAGCGGTTCTGCACGGGCGCCATGTCTTACGGGTCAATCTCGCTCGAGGCCCACTCCACCCTCGCGCTCGCGATGAACCGCCTCGGAGGGAAGAGCAACACCGGCGAGGGCGGGGAGGACCCGGCCCGATCCGACCCGCTCCCGAACGGCGACTCGATGCGGTCGTCCATCAAGCAGGTCGCGTCCGGTCGATTCGGCGTCACCTCCTACTACCTCACCGATGCCGACGAGCTGCAGATAAAAATGGCTCAGGGCGCCAAACCCGGCGAGGGCGGCGAGCTTCCTGGGTATAAGGTCTCGGAGGGCATCGCCTCGACCCGCAAGTCGACCCCGGGCGTGGGACTCATCTCCCCGCCCCCGCACCACGACATCTACTCGATCGAGGACCTCAAGCAGCTCATCTACGACCTCAAGTGCGCTAACCCCCGCGCCCGCGTCTCCGTGAAGCTCGTGTCCGAGGTCGGCGTCGGGATCGTCGCTTCTGGTGTCGCCAAGGCTAAGGCTGACCATATCCTCGTTTCGGGCCATGACGGCGGAACGGGCGCGAGCCGATGGACTGGGATCAAGTATGCGGGTCTCCCGTGGGAGCTTGGGCTTGCTGAGACGCATCAGACTCTCGTGCTCAACGATCTTCGAGGCCGCATCGTGCTGCAGACCGATGGGCAGATTAAGACGGGGAGGGATGTCGCTATCGCTTGCTTGCTCGGTGCCGAGGAGTGGGGGTTTGCGACTGCACCGCTGATTGCCATGGGATGCATTATGATGCGCAAGGTAGGGATTGTGACTCCCTGGGAGATCGTCTGGCGCGGTGATCAGTATGCTCGAGCTGATCCCCCCCCCCCCCCCCTTCTACCTGTAGTGCCACCTTAACACCTGCCCCGTCGGTCTCGCAACCCAAGACCCGGAGCTCCGCAAGAAATTCGAAGGAACCCCCGAGCACGTAGTTAACTTCTTCTACTACGTCGCTGAAGAGCTCCGTACGATCATGGCCAAGCTCGGCTTCCGTACCGTCGACGAAATGGTTGGCCGCGCCGACTTCCTCCAGGTTAACGAAGCGCTCAAGAATCCCAAAACCAGGAACCTCGACCTCTCCCCCATCCTCACCCCCGCATTCACCCTCCGCCCCGGTGCCGCAACCCATAAGGTCCGCACCCAGAACCACGTTCTTAGCACTCGTCTGGACAATCGCATCATCAAGGAGGCCGCGCCATCGCTCGAGAACCGCAAGCCGACGATTATCCAGGGGACCGTCGTCAATACCGACCGGACCGTCGGCGCTACTCTGAGCTACCAGGTGTCGAAGGCCCATGGCGAGAAGGGTCTCCCCGACGACACCATCCACATCATGCTCAAGGGCTCAGCGGGGCAATCCCTCGGCGCGTTCCTCGCCCACGGCATCACCATGGAGCTCGAAGGCGACGCGAACGACTACGTCGGTAAGGGTCTCTCCGGCGGCCGTCTGATGGTCTACCCCCCGAAACAGTCTAAGTTCCACTCGGAGGAGAACATCATCGTCGGCAACGTATGTCTCTACGGCGCCACCTCCGGTAAAGCCTTCTTCCGTGGAATCGCCTCCGAACGCTTCTGCGTCCGCAACAGCGGCGCCACGGCCGTCGTCGAGGGCGTCGGAGACCACGGGTGCGAGTACATGACCGGAGGGAGGGTGGTCATCCTCGGCTCCACCGGGCGCAACTTCGCGGCTGGTATGTCGGGTGGTATCGCCTATGTGCTTGACGTCAAGGGCGAGTTCCCCGCGATGTGCAATACCGAGATGGTGGATTTGGAGACTGTTAATGCTCCTGAGGAGGTCGCGTGGCTTCGCGCGACTGTCGACGAGCATCGCACTACCACCGGGTCGGAGATCGCGCTGCGCGTGCTGAAGAACTGGGCGACGGTACTACCCAAGTTCGTTAAGGTGTACCCGCGCGACTACCGCGCCGTGCTGGAGAAGCAGAAGGCCGCTCGCGCCATGCTGCCAGCGAGCCCGCGCCCGTCGTCGCCTGCGCGGGCCGTCCCTCCTGCCGTCGAGGCCCACCAGAAGACGGAGCCGAAGCTGGTTGATATCGAGGAGGGCGTGCTCGACGAGAAGCTGCTGAAGCGCCGCGAGGAGGTCGTTGATAAGGTTCGCGGTTTCATGAAGTACAAGCGACAGACGGATGGGTACAGGAACCCGAAGAAGAGGGTCAAGGATTGGAGGGAGATCAATGCCAGGTTGGACCCGGATGAGTTGAAGGTTCAGGCTGCGCGGTGCATGGTGAGTTGGCGTTGGGCTTGAAGTTAGAGTGCAGATTGCGACTTTGAAGATTCGAGACTGAGACGAACCCGCCCTCCCTCTCCCTCCCTCCCTCAGGACTGCGGCGTCCCCTTCTGCCAATCCGACTCGGGCTGTCCCATCGGCAACATCATTCCCAAATGGAACGATCTCGTCTTCAAAAACCAATGGAAAGAAGCCCTCGAACGCCTCCTCATGACAAATAACTTCCCCGAATTCACAGGCCGCGTCTGCCCCGCACCCTGCGAAGGCGCGTGCGTCCTCGGCATCAACGAGCTCCCCGTCGCCATCAAATCTATCGAATGCGCCATCATCGATCGTGGGTTCGCTGAGGGTTGGATGAAGCCTACCCCCCCTCAGGTCCGCACGGGCCGCAACGTCGCGATCGTCGGGTCGGGGCCTGCTGGTCTCGCGGCTGCGGATCAGCTTAATAAGGCCGGCCACACTGTGACGGTGTACGATAGGAACGACCGCATGGGCGGGCTGCTGACTTACGGCATCCCGAACATGAAGCTCGACAAGCGGATCGTGCAGCGCCGCATCGACCTCCTCGCCGCTGAGGGCGTCACGTTCGTTCCCAACGCCCACGTCGGGCGCACCATCGACGCCGTGGGGCTGCTGAAATCCACCGATGCGCTCCTCCTCGCAACCGGCGCCACCTGGCCCCGCGATCTCCCGATCCCGAACAGGAACCTCGATGGGATCCATTTCGCGATGGAGTTCTTGCAGAAGACGACCAAGAGCTTGCTGGATTCGGATCTCGAGGACGGCGCTTATTTGAGCGCGAAGGGGAAGAATGTTATTGTTATTGGTGGCGGTGATACCGGGAACGATTGTATTGGGACTGCGTTGCGGCATGGTAAGTTTTTATTTGTTTATTTATTTTTCGGCGGGCGGCGGATTCTGACACATCGCTGACATATCTCCCACCACTCTCCTATCTAGGCGCGCATTCCATCGTGAACTTCGAACTCCTCCCCCAACCCCCGGCAACGCGCGCCAAAGACAACCCCTGGCCGCAATACCCTCGGGTCTTCCGCGTCGACTACGGCCACGCGGAAGTCACCGTCACCCACGGCCGCGACCCGCGCGAATACTCCATCCTCTCTAAAGAATTCGTCTCAAACGGCAGCGGCGCCGTCAAAGGCATCAACACCGTCCAAGTCCAATGGACCAAAACGGCCTCGGGCGCATGGAGCATGACCGAAATCCCCGGCTCCGAGCGCTTCTTCCGCGCAGACCTCGTCCTCCTCGCAATGGGCTTCCTCGGCCCCGAAAAGGAAATCCTCGCTCAGCTCGAAATCGCTCAAGACCCGCGGAGCAACATCGCAACCGTCGGAGCCGGATCATACCGCACGGGGATCCCCAAAGTCTACGCTGCCGGTGACTGCAGACGCGGACAGAGCCTGATCGTGTGGGGGATCAACGAGGGCCGTCTGGCGGCGAGGGAGATCGATGTCGGGTTGATGGGCAACACGAGATTGCCTGTTGCCGGCGGGATCGAGCAGAGGCCGGTGGAGACGCTTGAGGTTGTTAGTGGGTTGGCGTGGGTGTCGGATGAGAAGGGGGTTGTGTAGTGGTTTTAGTTTTTTTTGTGTGTGTGGAGGGGTGACTCTGCTGATTTCTTTGAAAAGAATCCGCATCTTCATTGGTTATGATGACTAATTTGGCGGGGTTTCGGGAAGTCGGTTGCTGTCGATGAGCACCTGCCACACCTGTCTGCACTCCGTCCCAAAAGAAAACGGTTCTCTTTGTCAGTTGACAGGCGGATCGACGCCCCCTCCACCCCCATTCCAGCCTTCTTGATGGTTCGAACCCTCCGTTTTTTTCTATTTGTCGTAGGGAAGGTGTGGATGTTGATAAGCGTTCGGCGGCATCCCCCTCACTCCCTCGCGAACCCGCTACTCGACGCCTGTCAAAAAGCGAATTTCTCTAATTCTAGAACATTCGATATCGTTCGTTTGCGTGTTTTTATATATTGTTAAGATGTCTCATGATAAGCAACCATAGTGTAGTGGTCAACATGCTCGCCTTCCATCTAGTGGCTAGCGAGCGGCCCGGGTTCGAGCCCCGGTGGTTGCATGGAGGAGATAATTTATTTTGTTTCTTCCATGTGAGCTGCAGGATGCGACACTCTTTTCCCGTCTAAAATTGGCTTGTTCTTCACACATCTGCCTCATCCCTCCTATGATGTTGCCTGGTACCGAGCGGAGGCCTGTTGAGAGATTGGAGGGGTCGGATCTGGGTTTGCATAGAGAAGACTCGGTGACATTTGTTTCCATGCGAGCTGCAGGAAGCTAGGTTTTTTCCGCCTAAAATTCTTTTGTTCTTCGCACATCTGCCGCATCCCTGTGCGGCATGGGGGGTGTTTAGATTGAGAGGCAAACCCCCCTCAATTGGGGGGGGGGGGGGGGGGGGGGGGGGTGAGGGGTAGGGGGGGGTAGGGGGGGGGGAGGAGGAGGGGAGAGTAGTACCTTCTCGTAGTGTGGAGACGAAGTGGCGAACGGTTTCGGGGGGAACGAGGGTATCGTTTGCGCCGCTGCCAGGATAGGGAAGGGGGAATCATCACGCGGGGGTTGGGGTAATCTCTGTCTCGCTATCGGTTTCGTCCCCCCTCCCTCGTCTTCAACCCTCACTCTGCTCCCCC